CTGCTCGCAGTCAGCACGCGACGATCCAAAAATGGAACATCCACAAGCTGTAAAGATGACTTTGATTTTCTTCGAGGCATGACTCTCCCTCTGCTAACAGAAACTGGAGTTTATAAAACTACTGACGTTTGCACGACTGAGCTCCAGTGGCAATGAGATGCAAACCCCAGAAACCGGGAAGGCAGTGATCGCATTTTGCTCCTCCAACTCCTGCGCGACATCTATAAATAGAGTCTTTGATAATTTCATAACTGTGCATGTAGAAAATTGATTAACCTACTTAAAAAGGATCAACAAACAATTTCTCACCTACAATTTCCGTTTGAATCGCAGTTAGGCCCAAATGAACCGAGACTGTGGCATTGACAAGCATCTGAAAAAAAAAGGAGCCAGTTCCGTCAAGTTATCGGATAATCAAAAAAAAGCGTGTAGATACGAAAATTTTATAATTTGCAATGGCAGGAGTTGATACACGCCGGTTCAAAAAAGACTTCAGAGAGGCATAGATAAAAAGTTGTGAATTTTTGGGGTGTACAAAATTGTCAAGTTTACGGCTCGACTGCAAAAATTTTTTGTTGGCGGCATCCAAGGTAATTTAGCCTCATATTCCAGAAAACTACCGCTGTCAAGTTTTGATTAGAGGTCATTTTAAACATTTGTATAACAGTATTTGGGACTTATGTAATTTAAGAGAAATTCAAGACGCATGTTATCTATGATACAGACATGCTCATCATTTTTCAACAAGAAAGAAATCACTATTACAAGAAAAATCCTTGGCGGAAAGTCAGAGTGGTAAAAACAAAAGAGGAACAAGACACCAATATGGCATCTTTGCACCGTACAACAATTTTTTAGTAGAATACAGAGTGGCCGATTTTGTTTATTTCTGCAGTTTCTGTTCTAAGGTGTACAGTCGCTTCATTTCATATGATCATGTGTGTCATTGCACACACAGTTCACCTTTGGCGTCCCCATCCTGGATTCGTGGGAGAAACAAGCCTTCAGGTAAGTGTAAGGTGTTCTTAGCATTGTCTTTCTGTTTTAGTTACTAGTCACCTCAAATTGATGTAATCGATAACAATCGGTAAGTCTCTTGCGTTTTTGCGATTGCAAATCCAGGATGAGGACGCCAAAGTAGACTGTGTGTGCAATGGCACACATGAGCATATGGAATGAAGCGACTGTACAAGATTATCGCAAACAAATTTTTGATGCGAACAACTTCAGAGTATTCTCACACTTGATAGATACCCCTCACCACAGTCAGTCATTACGTACCATCTTTACAGTCTAGGTAGAAAGGGTAGAGGACTATATGTCGCCAAAAAAGGGCAGTCCCCGCAGTCATTTGCGACAAATACGCACCCTTGTACATACGCGGACATGCGTTCCTGCAGGGAATCCGCGCAGGATTCTTCTAAATTCGGCGACATATAGTCCTCCACCCAGGTAGAAATTTTATTTTTGAAGAGAGAATGTTGCTGGAGACAATATGCTCTCAGTGGTAAGTGGATTTTTCGTAACGATACACCCGAGTACTTTCATGCTTTAGCTTCAAGATAAGCTCTGAAGGCTGTCATGCGCAGGAAAACTCTTGTAGGAGTATGTAGCAAACCAAGATCTAACAGTTTTCGACGGGCAGAAAATTTGCTGAAGTCTCGTATGAAAAATCCTGCACAGAAATGTGACGCTCATACCCTGTCATTCTGTAAGTGGTACGAGTTTTTCTGGTTCATTCTGACTTACCATTGAACGTCGCCACAGCAGAATGGCATCTGATGAGAGGTAGGACAGGAATGGGTGATCCTCGCTGACAAGCGGCTAGTTGACGATGGCAATCTGACGAGTACAGTACTCCGTCTTCTCCACAGACTCGTGCCGACGGCGGCGGTGCCGAAGGACATTGGTAGGAGCAGAGGCACTTGCCTCCTCGACATTCCTGACCGAAACCGCATTCGACGTTTAGACACGCATCTGAAGGACGATTCAAAGTGAAGGATCTTGATATTATTTTCTAGATCACATACCGCATTTTCCCTCGAAAGCAACCATGATAAATTTCATCTGCTGGCAGGCACTCTTCCTTAGATGACATTCGGAAGAGTAAGTTACTCCGTCTGTTCCGCAGACAGGAGTAAGCTGAGTCTATAAGGAGAAATTTAAAGTTTTCGTAGCTTTCGTAAATCTTTTTATTTGAATCCACAGTCTTACCGACGAATGCTTTGAGTAACAATCGGAAGGGCATCGACATTCCGCTTTTCCATTCTCCACAACGCAAGACGAATAGTATTGACAGTTTTTCTTGGCACAACCTTCTATAAAGTCGAAATGTTACAGTTTCCAGAGTAAAACAATGGCATTTTTCAACCCCTACCACAGATTCCATTGTACTTGACGAACAGAGTAACGCCAGCTTCACAAGCAGCTTTTCTCATTTTACATTCATTTGAATATGTACGACCATCACTGGCACAGACCTAGAATTTCAGGGTAGAAAATATCGAAAAGTAAAAATAAAGTATTTTTACCTCTCGTAGTTCGTCGGTACATTGAGGACAGACACATGATGGTTTCTCATCCTTCACAACACAGACAAGTGGAGCACTGCAGATGAATGTCGAGCACAAACCCTCACCTAAAAAACTATTTGGAGTTATTTTGACACTTTCTTTTTCGCACCAAACCTCTTTAGACAAATTTTCGATTCCAAAACTTGCCATAGAAAAGGATTATTAGTTCGCTAAAAGCTCCACATTGTTGGAACAAATATTTGACCAGTTTGAATGCACTTTGATACTCACATTTGTAAAGGCAATCCTTTTCGATTTTGAAATGTAAAATACGTTAACTTGCAAAACCTCACCGCAAGGTCCTCGATGTCGTACGGCTATGTAGGATTGTTTCAAACAAGCATTTCTATTCACTTCACATTCGTTGTCGTACGTGATTCCATCCTAAAACATCAGTGAAAATTACATCAGCATTGCCAGCTTTTGGTGCTCATCCACGTGAGTGACCACCTTGGTTCATTTCAAATTTATCGGCTTCAGGTGAGCTTTTATGCAAAATCTCTGAGTGCGTTCGCTTCTAGTCTCTAATCATAAGCTGTCACGATTCCGCATTTTGTGCCAAAGAGCAAAAATTTTGCATCATGATGAACAAAAACTCTGCAAGCTGCTGATCTGGAAATGCTCTCAAAAGGGAGAGTTTGACGTCTACGCAGCAATATGACATATTCAAATACAATGACTCAATTACGGGAATGCCAATCTATCAGAGTATATGATTCAGGAATGGGTCTTGGGATTTTCTAGAGGGTTTAGCCTTCATAAACCGTCTGGAATTATTTTCACTCACCGTGGCACAGACAGGGGAAAGCGAAAGTGGACATTTCTGTGGACATACGCAAGTTGCTGTACCATTCGCAAACAGCTGGCATCGTGAGTGATGAGAGCAGTGTAGATCATCGCAAGGATTATCAAGTTCTAAATAAGATTTTATACGTATTAACATTTGATTCAAAGCAAAATTTACCCGAGCATTTCCCTTTTTTGTACACCGTTAATTGTAGGTCTTCTTTACATGCGGCTACCTTCATGACGCACTCATTCGCATATCTGCCATGAAATTTTTCTATGAAAAAAATTTGGAAGGATGTAGTGAAAGAACGAAGCGTGGAATTGTAAAGGTGACAGAATTATTTAGCGTGTTTTGAGCGGGTAGCGCACTTATCATAAGTGCTTTAACCACTTACATTCCCATATTCTATAACTCATGCTCATTTCATTTATAAGCTATTCCATATTCACTCACACTCTTACATATAAGTATGTATAAGTGGTGTGTTCAGAATTCCCGTTCGGGGGGGGGGGAGGAATTTTTCCGGTGAAAGTGTGGCGATGGCCAAGCGCTCCAGAAGAATTTATTGTAATTATTTGCAGGAGGCAACTCACTTTCAGTTTTTTGTAACTCATGTAAGTAACTTTCAAAAGTCTCGCAATCCCATTGCTCGAGCGACTTCAACTTCGACCCACTCCCCACTTCCCCCATCGGACAGGTTCCACAGCTACACCTACTATTCAAAATTTACGGATTTTGGAAATCTTGAGAACCAAGCGAATTTCAGCGTTTGGCGAGTGGGCGGGGCCTGCCACAAGGAGCGAATCCCGCCCACTTGTATCATACTTCGTGCGCAAACGAATTCACATACACATGCAGCCAAGCGTAGAAATGCACGGAAACATCTCATCCACCGACCAGGACATAAAATTTTTAGCTCGGCGTCACTATGTTATATAGACAAATCCGTTCTCTTTTCTCTAATATTTGAGAGAGACTATGGATACTTTAAAAAAAGAGGGGCAGGGCTTAGCACAGGTGCTCGTAAGTGCTGGATAACGTTTTTGGGAAAAAAGCAAAGGGGTTATCGTTTTTGAGGTAAAAAAAACACAAAAGTTGCAAAGTTGTTTTAGTCGACGTTATAGATGGGTTTTTACGTTTAGGGTTTAAGGTCAAAGGGGGCTTCAAAATTCGAAGTCAAGGAGGAGTTTTTTTTGCATTTTTCAAAAGTCAGCTCGTGCTGAGCCCTGGTAATAGAGATATTTTTTTGATTTTTGGGCTAGCGCACAATTAGACGTGTGATAAAAATTCGTATTCGTTCACAAAAATTTGGAAAACATCTCGGGAGATTTTAGCTAACGTCACGCCCACTCACTCAAAAACAACTTCTGACGAGAATCTTCGAAAAAAGCACCATTGCGCCAATCTATATCGTGAGCTCATATTTACAGTATACAGTTATACACTCACGTAAATCCATTATCCGCACATACAGGATCGTAAGTCAGAGCGCATTGTTCACTACATCGGCACTCAGGCTGACGATCTGCGTTGAGTTTGCAGCTTGTGCCTCGAGCACACGAGATTCCAGAACATGGATCTGGATAACAATTAGATGCGAAGTGTGGTTGAGTTTCTGGAATAATCGGCTTCATACCACATTCTCCAAAAAATCGCACAGTGATGTTGATTTGAGCATGGCATGCATGTTGCTTCAGATGACACCACGATGGATAGTCTATGCCTTGAGAAGAGCAAACCGGCGACGATTCTACTGAAATCCTAAGATTACGAAAAAGTCGATTACAATATTTACGTTAATTCTGCTGTAGAGCTGATCCGACCATTTATCCAAAATACAATGCAGCTCTAGAACGTTGATATCAGAGAGCGAATTTTCCGGTGACGTTAGAAGCTTCTTGAACACAAGTTCAATTTCGCGTAGTTTTGTTGACCTCTATTTCAGCAAAAATCAAAGAAATAAGGGAAAGATTCATTTTCAGTTCCAGTAAAGGCATTTTATGTCCTCCAAAACGTTGTCGTTCACGTGAGATATGTTCGAGTGGGGACTCTGATGTGATGACTACTTACAAGGCAAGGATAACAACATTAGTCGGCGATTGAAGATGAGATGTATATCAGTACACGCGCCTTTGAACGTTGATTCCAAATCTGCTTTCCTTTTTTGCGGAATAAGTTTCCGAAGGAAGTTGAGGGTGTTCAAATGTCCAAATTTATCAAGGTTTAGGTGGCCTAAAATTGGCGAAAAGCTGTAGAAAAACACGGAAAGTGGAAAATCATTTTTGTATAGAGTATATTGTATGTAAGGACGGAACAAAGCCGGTGGAAATCGCATAGATGTTGTTCTAGAGCTTTTCGCTGATTTTAAGCCACTTATTGCTTAGCAAATCTGGACATTCAAACGCTCATAACTTCTTTCGGAAACTTATTCCGCACAAAAGTAAAGCACAGTGATATCAGCGTTTAAGAGCGCATCTGATAAGATACACCTCATCTTCAATTGCCAACTAATGTTGGTATCCTTCCCTTGTTAGCTTCCTATTCTGCGAGTAATATGAAGGTCCTTTTATAGAAGAATTTAGATGGAAGATTGTCATCGAAAATGTCTGAAGTAAGCTGTAACGAGTGCAAGAGGCTCTAGAATCTTGTAGTGAAAAATCGAGCGAATTTATATATTTACAAAAGAGAATCAGCCTCAATTTGAACATAATTATGCTCCTATATTCTTGTTTTCCCTTCATAATCAAGCATGACAACTTACTTCTGTCCTATCAAATTTCATAATGCTAAATGAATGCTCGTTGGGAAAGAGACTGTTACATATTAACGAGATTTTGATCTGCTTCGGAAACTCCACAGAATAAATGACTGATGTAGTGCTATAGCTAGCAGCGAACCCCATTCTGCATCAGAATTACAACTGATCTGCATCCGCTATGGAAGAAAACAAAAAAAATTGATTAAACTCGCGCATATATAAATCACCAGGAATCGACATAACTAAGACTCAAATAGCATTTTGACACCACAAAGGAATCCCAATCTTCCCATTTTGCCCCAATTATGAGAACCTAAGCTACAAACCAGATTCATGGCATCGCATAAAAACTTTTAAAAGTTTGAAAAAAAAACGAGAGAAGCAGGAAAGGAAAATTTTTGTTAAAATGTAAAGTACCTGAATCGCCGTAAGATGGGCAAGATTGTGGGCATACGCACTGCGCCGAGAGCACTCCATCTTTCTAAAAAGAATATTTATTTCTAACAAGGGTTATTTTTTAGTTCTTATAAAATTCTTTCAAGGGCTAAGAAAGTTTAGAGTGAGTTGGAAACAGCACTCCTTGAAGCCTATTTTTATTCATTACATGTTCATCTGGAAGAGAATGAAACATTGGTTATGATGGAGTGGGAATCTATTTTTCATGGCTAAGAGCTGTGAAGAGAAAGCGAAGCAGATGTTCTCACAGCACTTTTTGTCTAAAATATACAGACTGCACAAGCTTAGCATTTAGTACCTATTCAGCCTTTCTCCAGTTCCTAGAATATGATAACCAGATGTTAGAAATTCGTTTACCTGTGACACAACGCAATCTTCTCCAGGTCCACATCGCAGATCTTCACAAGGGCTCTTCTGTCCTAAATTTGCCTTTCAAATAAAGTTCAGCAACTATGGCCCACCTACCCTTGGGGTAGCGATAACAAGCAAATACATAAGGACATAGAATGAGAAGAGCTGCTAGCATCTGCACCATAGTCAGGCCAATTTCAAGGCGGACGAGTGTCGATGAATTGAATAAGCAGCGCTGATGAGATGTCAGCACTAGTCGTTTCCTCCACTTTTGAGGAGAACGCCGGCAAGTGAACCTTGCAGAGTGCCCATTTTCTTCTACTCCGATAAATTGATTCTGCACCATATACTTCAAAACGGTCAAAAATACGTACATACATTCTATTCCGTTGCAAAAGTTGTTGACCCTATCTGGTTAGCTCAATAAATTTAGCAATGATTTCTCTATAACCGATCGAAATATCTTTTTTGAGGTAAATAAGTAAAGTAAGTAAAGTAAATTGTCAAGAAGTTTCGAATGATTGTATATCGACCATGCCTAGTATTGCTGAGCTCAATTTATATGGAAAATCTTGGAAAGCAAAATCTTTGCTTACGGCACTAATGTAATTGGTAAGTTGGTTACTACTGATTTATGAAAAGCAGAAAAATCGAAAAATCTAGAAAGCAAGCGATACTACCTTCTGACTTTCTGGATGAAGCGACTTTGTTAGAAAAATATAGGCTTTGATACCTGCAGATAAGTCTGCGTACGAATAAGTCTCCGCCAAAAACTTGGATTATTGAATTCAAAATTATGTCCTTTTTACAAATATGCAAGAAAATATAGTCTGCTTTACAAAGTCAACTAATGGGTAAATACTTTTTCGTATACTCCTGAGAAAATTACGAAAAATCAAAGACACAAATCTTATTGCACCAAACGGCTGAAAAGGTGTCAGCAGCGGTGTGAGGCCACGACGAAGAAAGAAACCAACTAGTTGTTACGGAGTAGAATTTGGCCCAGCTTGTATATTATAGGAAAAAGTTTTCAGTTTTGCTGGTACACACAGGAAACTGAGTATATATTCCCAAAGTTGAAAACACAATCTTTCAGGAAGTCCTTTTATCCATTAAAGTAATGTGAGGTGCAACGGTCATCATGCTCTCTAAATCTGTCTTGACTGCTAAACAATGCTATGAATGTAAGACATATTATCGTGTACTTCTGTCAAAGACGGTGGCAAAGTTCGCAAACGAGGACACAAAGGCGATCTCTGTTGCCATATTTGTCTTAATGTGGAAACGCTATTTCCTACAGTCTATAATGAATTACTTCGCAGAATGGAGCAATATTTCAAGCCTTTCAGTATGCATCTAACTAAGATACACAGAACATCTAACCTCGTTAGTCTTACAAGGAAAGCTTGTTTAGTCGAATGCCTATACCTATAGATATTCAAAGTATTCCAAAACTTTTCTTATCTGCAGATTTTTATGGACGAGGGGTTATGAACGTTTTTTAGAGCCAAAAATTGAATGTGCATTTTGGACAAAATGAGTTGCTAAAATCTTACTAGCCCTGTGACAATGCAACCAAGTGTGGCGATTTTTTTTTATTTTAGAGTTTTTGAAGCTCGACTGAAAAGCTACAAAAAATATCACGGCTATTTTTTGAGCGCTCACAACTACTCGTCCATAAATGTTCTGCAGGTAGGGAAGGCAGATTTGGAATCAGCCTTTTATGCCCTTCAGTATGGTATACATCCCATCTAAAAAGGCCACCTCGACTAAACATGCATTCCTTGTTAGTTCCCATCTGTGAAAATCTATGAGGTTAGTTTAGATTTCCTTTGTTTCGATTCCGCAATGATTAGATTGTGCATATCATGCGTTGGGTTTGGTAGTTTACAGTCTGTTCGATGTTGTTAAGTCTAACTTGAGAAATTGATATGCTCAAACCCTTCGCAGTTCTCTCGACCGGGGCTCACACTTTATCGGCGCAGGTGAGCAGCGCGCTCTATTGTTTGTTATACCCATAACACGGTCAGTGGAAAGATAAGCTCATGAGCAAACCGACGACTCTCCGCAGACACTGGCCACTGGTCCTTACCCCGAGCAGGTGCTGCTGTTTTGGAAATTCGCGGAGCTCAGTTGGAATCCGTTAACTCGGAACAATTTAATGGGCAAACAAGTTGCGGAGCGCTTGAATGCCTCAATGGGGCAATGCAGACACTACTCAAAACGGCTAAATGCCAAAATCTCACTCACTGCAGGCTCCGTACTCCATTATTCGCAGCTTTTCGCCTTTCTTGGCGAGCAGACATGCTCGCACATAAAGGTGGCACGACGAAGCGTAAGAGACTCGATCCGAACCACAAACTGCTGCTCCGTATGTGCGACAGTAGTTTCGACATTCGCATTCGCCTCTGGAATAGGAATTACCTATACGCGTATGCAGTTATCAACTGGAATTTGTTTATGCTGTATGAATTGAATGAACGTTCTGCTGAATTGACCGGAACTTCCGCAGAACGTTTGAGAAAGTTCCGCCATACCACTGCGGAAGTTCCGTAAACGTGCTGCGGTTCCTATTTTTAACCAGTCTGATATAAAAACTCTGCGGAAGTTCCCATTTTCAACGTTTACGCGTTTGCAACAGTGCGCAAAATCCTGCAAAAGATGCAAATTTTGTTGCGGAAGTTCCGGTGAATTGTCTGAGGTACACGCCAAAAATCCACCCCATCAGCTGCTCAAGAGCAGATAAGCGAAAGCAATTTGCGTAGTGAATTTACTAGGCTGTTGGAAGTTCTGCACGATTTTGCTGCCTCATGTTTGATGCAGCAGTTCTCTTGAAGTTCTGTATTTCATTTGGTGATATTCATACCACTTAAAACCCCTTTTCTTGCTTTTTCCGAAGATTATTAATTTTGTTCTCATTGTCCTGCTTGTCGAGTCTAAGCGCGCAAGCCGTCATAGTTTAGCAATATCCAAAAAAACTTGTATTTGAAGAATTTTTCCTAATCTGCCAATGAGTTGTTTATGTAAGACTGTGAAGCGAATAAGCATCTAAAGGGCTAGCATATGCACATTCCTATTTCTAGAGCAAAGTGGGATTGATTTCCAATTGTTTTGTCGAGGGATTAAGGCCTTCTTTAGCCGCTCTACAGGCGCCGTTAATTTACGCAGAGCGATCAGTGACAAGTTCAGTATTGTATAGGTTAGAGTGAACTAAGCGCTAGCAGGGTCTGTTCTTCGGTCGGTTTTCGTTTGCGACATGTAAAAAAATTCAAATAAAAAGCGAAGCATATTTCGGCATGCGCAAGATGAGCCAAAAAGCGGGTTTTTTCTTTGCTCACAAAAAGTTTTCTGCAGCAAACTACATGGATTCCCTTTAGTCATTAAATAATTTTCGGATCTTTAGCTTTCCAGGAATACTCGTAGAAAGTTTTGAACTCTCGTTTCTCGCTCAATTGCCTTTTTTAAACATCACGGTGTTCTTGTAATAGCCAAAAACTTGCTCAGTCTAAGGAATGCAAGATCACCCGAAAATAATGATCCGAGAAAATTAGAACAATTTGAATAAAAAAAAATCAAAATCGGGCAAAACTTTCGGAACAACCAGTATTATCCTACATTCAAAGTGTACTTCCTTTTTCTATGTTTGCTGTGCATTGAAATAGAAAGATGATGGTACTATTTAGAACTACGGAAGTAATCTTTGGCCATCTTAGTTTCACTAATTGCACTAAATCTGTCCAAAACGACAAACATTTATGAAAAGAGACAAATTTCTGTTCTTCCTTTGGCAACTCTAATTTTGGCTTTTCTCTAAGAAAAGTATTAGAAGCAGCGATAGGTCGCACCTCCATATTTGAAGCAACAGATTGTTTAATCCAACTCTCTTTGTTGCTACGACTTTTACATTCTCAGAATACACGAAAAACCTGCCAATGTATAATTTACGTGGTTTAAATTTGAAGGGTTACATCATTGCTGGCTTTTTGTGACTGTACCGATTGAGAAGGTACTCTTGACTCTCTTGCAGCTTCAGTAGTCTCCCTGATTTCTGCTAAAAAGTGGCTAAATCGTCTTTTTATCTAATATTAGAAAGAAAGTTTCCGGGCATTTGCGAAATTTTTTTTTCAAACTGCTGAACTTCAAGCAGACCGATCCTTTTTGAGAGCTGCAAACTTTGCTACAAAGACAATGTTGTCTACAAGGTATGTTTGTTTTGTTAGGTCCCCAGCCTTCATTTCAGCCCACCAGCATGCGCAGTAGGGAAAAAGGTCGATTTAAAATTTGGTCTGTTAGTGCAGGAATTTCTCAGGCACGAAGATATCTACAGAGCTCACCGGTAGTTATGTAAACCCTGCTGAGGCTGTTTGAAGACTATGTCACAATTTTGGAAAACAGCCTTGAAAAAATTTTCTTGAAAAAATTGAAAAATGTGCCATTTTTACACCATGAGAATGTCCCAATTTTTTGAGTAAATGCACATGAATCAAATTTTAGATTGCTGTAAATATTACTAGGGTGATTTCTTGCACATCTTATGGGCCTATGAGGCGGACGATCCTTACAAAATCGACGCCAATTGCGAAAACAGGTACAGTCAAAGGCAAGTTTGAAAGCTTTTAATTTTCGCGTATTGTAAAATCCGAGCACAGCTGCGGTTCTGTAGTGAACATCCTACTTATTCACACTGACCAACCCTTAGATGGTTTTCTTTGTTCACTATAAAAAAATGGCAGCAAAAAAGAAAAGTTTTGAAAATTTCGTCATGGCACAGACTTGCTTTGGTGTTTAGATCAAGTACGGTGTGATACCGATAAAAACTGGATGCGAGTCTGAAACCTTAGGCTTTTTTCTACAGAATCACATAAAACATTCGTCGCTAAGATTCGACCGAGAGCGAAAAAAATGAGCCTGAAAATAAAATTTCCTAAACTACCCGGGAACTTTCTTTATAACCTAATAAAAAATTGTACATGCTAGATTGGTATAGATAGGTGCCATGAATTACAGTTATTGTGCATTTGGTATAGATAGGTGCCATGAATTACAGTTATTGTGCATTCGTCTGTGTAATATATCCTATCGCGTTATTCATCCCTATAGAGCTATAAGCCTCGCCACTACTGGTTATGGTAGACTCAGACATGTTTGCTCAGTTTTAGGGGAAAAGTCAAAAAATGTGACCCGTAAGATTGCAATAGTTTGACAGCAATAATGGTGCGGTGAAAAGAAGGAGTGAGAAACTTACGTGGAAAAAACACACTTTGATCCAAGTGGACATAGCTTTGTTTCGCATAGACCTGGAAGTGGACTGTTTTGAGCTTTTGCTTTGCTGCATAACCTTTACTGAGATAATGTCGTATGCATTTCCCCATTATGCAGATGAGATTACTGTAACTAAGACCATGTGCCGCAATTTACATATGTCGTCACATAATGGCCTTACGCAACTTGTAGCCCTCGCACTTCGCGAACGATTTGATCATTCCTACAGGTAAAGAAGATGCTTTAATTAGTGAGGGAAGAAAAAGTTGAAGATGAGGGGCATTTGAACAAAGTGGTAAATTTATTTCTGTAAAATTCGCTGAAATTTGAAAAAAGTACAGATTATTTAGTCCTTAGAATCAATGGTCGATAATTCAATGGCTCTCATTTGTTGTTTTTTGGGTGAATGCAGTACTTTGATTACACTCATGTAAATGAGAAATACTCACTTGGTTTTGACTTCCTTCTCTTTCTGTGTGGCTTTCCTGAAATGAGAAGGTTTCATATTGCTCATAATTGGGCTGGATTAAAGATCTCTTACAAACAACAAAAAGATTATAAGTTTTGTGTTCATTACAGCGTTAAAAAGCTCTAACTAGTAAACGCGCGTCTACAAATTTTCTACTTTCAAATTTCTAGCAATTTTTAACATTAATTGTCATGATAAGGCATTTGTTTAAGATAAATACATTATATGATTTTAGTATCCTACACAACTGCTTCAATAGTCAACGTCCGTACGTCCACAAATTTATCCAAGAGAACTCAGTGGATTGTAGCGAGTAGTTATAGATGGAAATGGATATAACAAGCTGGAATTCTCTCGGACAACCTTACATTTCGGCCAGCAGTATCCTGCCAATCGCTGTTCGTATAAAAACAAGGCGACAAAAATCAAATAAGATAAATTGTGGGCTCCTCATTTTATGCTGCAGATGGATTAAAAGTCACATTAGATTGGTAGTTCAGGAGCTGCGCACCACTTTGTGAAGGCTTTTGGTTAATGCCACATTTGGTGAAGAGGAAAATACAGCTGTAGCGATTGGCAAGCTGAAAAATGAAAGGGACGATCAAAAACGACTTAAGCAAATTCAGAATCAGCCTTTCCATCGTGTATACTAACAACATCGAACATCAATGTCAGTTATTAGATTCAAAGATTTTGCTGAACTTTAAAGAGGTATTCCGATTTAGTGCTTTAAAGATCATTTAGGTCAGGTCATTGTTTCCCATGTCATCCTTTCTCGTAATCGCTGCGATTAACCTACGGTTACGGCTGCTCTTTACATGGAATCAAAGAACTCAACTCAATGGGTAGAAGTGGCTGTCACAAAATGAGTCCAGCAGGAATTCGCATGGAAACTCAAAATTATGATGTGAGGAGAGTTACGTTGTTTCTGGTGTAGAAGACACGAAATACTATGTAGAGTTTATATTATTACAGTGCATAACAAGGTATAGAAAACTATCATCCGTGATAATGGGTGCGATTTTTGCTTCTATGCTTTTCCTCGCCTGAATTCTAAAGTAATTTTTTGGAATAATAAACGAACAAATTCCTCACCAAATACGCTATCTGGCATGATTAGAAGTTGCTCTTAACTTCATTCTTTATACCACACCACTCCATCTGGCTTCCTTTAAACGCATTAGAAAAAAACATCGCAGCGGTATCCGTTTAACAGCACCTTTCGCCGACAACGAAAAACTCTTTTGTAAATGGCTTTTAAGTTCTCTGACATTCCTAACTTGTTTGAGGAAAAATGACTTTCCAAAGATGACAAAAAAAATCAAATTCGCTGTCCATTAGAGCATACTGAAGCCTCCATTTTAGCCATACAGGCAACGAAAACAACATCATCAAAGCAGCACAGACCGTATTTAGTTCGCTTAGCGTTACTAATTAGCGAGCTAATTACAAAAGGATGACAATGAAGGTAGTGTGAATGAAAAGAGGACATGCCAGCTGCTGCACAGGTGGAGAGCGCATCTCCAATTCAGGTAAAGGTAAGACTTACTTACCCATGGTAAACGAGTGAAGTGCATCTAGAACGCTGAGGTTGATACGAATAATTGGAGGAACAATTTCCAGAATATTCCCTCGAACGGAAATTGCAAAGATACGAGTGTCATGCAGTAGAAGAG